TAATCTCTTGTTGTTGTAGCTATAAGATATAGTTATACTTTAGCAAAATATCTATATTATATAAATACAGTGTAAAACTGCATCATCATGATATTATGTACAAAATAAATCACAAATCAAAACTGATGAAATAACACAATTCTAACCTTTGTGTAAATATTTGAAAAAATACAACACATCATTCATCATGAAAGATTTAAGTTAATTTATAAAGATATAATATTGCTATGTATAATGATGTCACAAAAACTGATCTCCTCAATTCAAAATTGAAACATCCCTGTCAGTTAAATAATTGCTAGCTATCATTTTTTTACAAATGACTGATTCAAGCTCAAAATTTCTCAACAAAAAAATTAAAACACACATTTGAATCTTTGTGTACACCAGCTGAAACAAATTATATAACATCTATGGCGATGGAGTAAAGAATGATTATTAAAATTGTGCATCAAATAATTCACAAATATCAAAGAACTTAATGAAAAGGTAGTCAATGACAAAATACAAGATTTATGAAGATATTATACAAAAAATATAATAACCTCTCATGCATGAAACACTATACTAGTGTAACATATAGAGGGCAACATCTTTTAAAGAAGTTCCATCTCTTTATATGAACAATGTCACCATGTTCATGTCACCATATAAAGGTTACAAAAGAGCTGGTACACCATCCTGTGATAACAACACCATTCTACAACAGATCTTCAAAACCCTAATGTTACCTACTGTAACTCAAAACAGAATTTTTACAAGTCATTCTCATAGGGTCTTAAAGCAAGCTCCAGTGTATATGATTGAAATAAATGAGCCCCGTCACGACAAAAACCAACATAGTGGGTTTGCGACCAGCATGGATCCAGACCAGCCTGCGCATCCGCGCAGTCTGATCAGGATCCATGCTGTTCGCTATCAGTTTCTCTACTTGTAATAGGGTTTGTAAGCGAACAGTATGGATTCTGATCAGACTGCGCAGATGCGCAGGCTGGTCTGGATCCATGCTGGTCACAAACCCACTATGTTGGTTTTGTCATGGCACAGCTCAAATGTTTTTAATTTAAATACATCTCTGCACACTATAGCACCAATAGTTACTTCTTTGAGAGTGACGGCATGGCCAAGTGGTTAAAGTGTCGGACTAGTAATCTAGGACTGCTGACTGTGTGGTTTCAAACCCTGTCAGGGGCAAGTCGTTGTATCCTTCAGCAAGAAACTTTACATTAATCATTAATTGCTTAGAACTGGTTAGTTCCAGGAATGGATTTTAGAGTGTTTCAATAAGCCTATAGCTTCCAACACAATCAAACTGAAATAAATTTGTATAAACAAATAGTTACTTCTGCAATGGAGAATCTCTGAATTCTTGCACAATCCTTGACTTTAAACCGTTCTACAGGAGTAGTCCATAATAATGGTTTATTAGCAATGACTCTAAATATGTTAAAACATATATTGACAAAAACTGAAATAAATTAAACTCAAATCAGCTTGTTTTAAATCATATGTTCAATTGAGTTGATAATTATGTTATGTTTATATCTCTAATTATTAAAATATCTTTACAACATGATATTATCCCTTGATCAATAAAGGTCATAAAAACTGTTATTATTTCTAAAGTTTCTAAAGTAAGTGTTATGTTTAAATTGACTTCTGTCGTACAAATTGTCAGATTAAATCAATGATTTTTTTTCACAAATTAGAAGCTTTGAAGCTTGTTTGGTGATAACATTTATTCAATTTTTGGTTAACTTGTATACATTTTTCTGTTACTATTACATATAATATAGGGCATAATAGTTAAAACCAGATTATCATTATTAAAGGGAAAATGTTTATGACATTTTCATCAACAATTAAAAGCATATTTTTTCTCTTTAAAAGGGCAGCATTTTTAAATCATGACCTTTTCTCTTACATTCATTATATAACAGTTAAAATAAGTTTCATCCCCCATACTTAATAAATCTTACTGCGTACGCAACAGTCAAAAAACAATTTAACAAATTAACATGAATTATATCATAAAACAAACTGTTCAGTACTGTGGCACCTCTGCAATTTGAAACACAACAAGCCATCTCAAAATACAATAGGTAACCTTATGAATAAATTATAAAAGGAAAGGTTATATTATTTACCAATAAAGGCAACAATGTGATTATAACATGGTGATATATTCAGCAACGTAATAGACACACTATCGACTGGAGCGCAAACTTACGTGAAACTATGTATGTATTTTCCCCGCCACTATTGCATGATCAAGCACAATTTCGTATCATCAAATTATAAAATCCCAGGGAATACCTGTCACATAATCCCGCTAATTCTTTTTTCAAACATGAAAGGATTTCTAAATGAGCTATTTGTTCGGTAATATTTCGCTACTGTCTGTATTCATTTTCCAGAATTATCTGTTTGTTTGTGCCACAAGCCAGAATAAATATTGGCTGCATGCAGCGGGGAGTCAGATTGGAGAGAAATTATATACAATCACAACATATCAAACTTCTTGATTGAACTTTTAAAGGGATAGACACTGTGAAATAAAAGTAAGTTTTTCATAAGACCTACAGCAGCCAGACAAAAATTTTGACATCTTTACTGAATTAATTGAATCAATCAGGCACATATTGTATCAGTTATTGAAAAAAGGTAAGATAACTCTCTGTTTCAACCATAAAGATTGAAAAGCCATTTTATTGTAGGACGATTGCATCATAGCTACCGTAGTACCAGCGTGAACTCCGTCACATCTGAAGGCAGATCTGTTTAAATCATCTTTATTATGAACTGCAGAATGCAAAATAAACTTTTCTTACATCATTCAGCATGTGAAGTAAATCATTTCTCGGAAATTGTGCATGAATAATTTCTTCAATGTTATATACCAGGGTACATTCAAGATTTAATGTCAAATTAGTTTCTTGAAAAATTTATACCAACTTGGAAATACTTTAGAAGTTAAATACAAAATCTTCACAAATGAAATACAAAAGCTTTAATTCACAACTTAAACACAAAATTCATCACAACTGAAATACAAAAATTCTTTAGAACTGAAATACAAAATCCTCTAAACTGAATTACAATATCTTCATAATAACTGAAATACAAAACCTTCACATCTGAAATACACTTTAAACTGCATGAAGTACTAAAGAAGTTTCAGAACTGAAATACAGACGCAGAAGTGTTTGGTCGATATTTTAGAAAAAATATAAAAACACACAAATCGGGCAATCTGAGTCAAAACATGTGATTATTTAAAAGTTAGCTGGGAAGGAAAATGTAGTTTGCTCCTGTTGTTACCATCTCCCTCTATCATCAAAACTACTACAGTATCTGTTCATTTCTCACTACCTCCCCAATTATAAACAATTTTATATTGATCAAAGCAAGTTTTCTCGTGAAGTTTTCTACAAATTGACTAGCAATAGCTTCTTTCTCTCTCTCTTTCCCTCACTACTGATCATTACAAACTGTGACAAAATCTGGTTGATTATTTCAAACGTTGCGACATTTGTCTCTAGTTTTCAGAGTTTTGTATTATTTATCTACATATATTCCCTGTACGGTGCTGTATCTATCTAAAATTTCCAATAAAATGTAGAATGAAATATACTTAATCTGAATAAAACTACATGTGGGACTTACCAAATGGAATTTCCACTACCATTAATCCATGGAATACTTAATCAAGATAAACAATATTATCAATACCCCACTTTTTTGTTACTTATATGATGTACCATTAGCAATTAATGCGCTTTTTTCCCTGTATCAATGAAAAATTGAATGACAATGAAAAAAAGATTTCCTTTGATTTATTGCCTTTCATACAAGCACATAAGAAGTTTGTCTACATTTGATATTAAAGTTAAACCTGACAAACTTTGTCTACTTCTCATATTTGATTTAAAACCGACCAAAGCAAGTGAATTGTATATCAAAATGTCAGTAAATAAGTCCTTGATGATCCACCATAGAGCATTATAACTGTAGAGAATTGGCTGTACACACCAATAATCACCTATCTTTGTTGTTTCCTTGTGAATGCAATATCTGAATGCAATGCTGTCAAGTCAAAATGAAACAATATCCTGCCATTGTCAATGCGACACCTTTTAAATGCATATTTCATGTAGGTGTTGGGAGGGGGGAAAATCACAGGGAGACCTTATAATACTTACTGTATGTAATTGCTAGGTCATCAAACATATCACCTATCAAATAACATTCAATGCTTATTACTTGTTTTGTTTAGCTCAGATTTCAAACTTAACACGGTAAAGGTCATATGGCAATTTCCAAGCTTTCAGGGAAGTGGAAGACTCCAAGTTTTAACCATCCAAAATTAAGCTGAATAGAAGAATTCCGGACATAGATTCAAGCCTGCAATGCTGGAGAATTAAAATTAACAAATAATTCACAGTCAGTTTTACATGATTAGAAAGTATAAACATTCATAGGTATGTAATGCAATTATACATAAATTAAACTTTACGAAGATAATTTACCCTTGCTTCTAGAATTTGCTATAGTAAAATAGCCTTCTGACTCGAGTTACACAATCAAATTAAAGTTCCCACTTCACTCAGATTATAATCTAAGTTTTACAAATGTACATTTTTGTTAAAAATATTTTGTCAAGGAAGGACAAAAGTAAATAATCTAACTTTTTAAAGTACATGACCTCCGATCATAAATAACTTACAAACGTGATCATGTTAAGATGCCCATTCACTGCTTGAGGAGTACATTAGATATGTGCAATATACACCAAATGTGTTGCAGTCATATCACAATACTATTTCTCAACTTACATGTATGATATTCTAAACTAACTACCTACTTTATGTTTCTGTGATATTCCTTGCCTTATTCTTAGATTGTTGACATTTTTCAAAATTAAAAATCTGAAATTATTTAGACAGATTATGAAATGATACAAACTATTTGTATAGAATACATTGTTATAAAATACTTACTGTTATAAACAAACACACTACTGTATTATTCCAACTTTGTATCCAAGTTTGAGCGTGTGAAACACTTGACCACTACAATTATTTGCATTAAAATCAAAGATTATCCAAAAATGTGAATGCTATGATTTTACACAAAGTAAATATAGGGGAGCAGTGTAAACATTGACTTATATTCAAATGAAGTAGATATTAAATGAGGTACTTAATGACCTTTTAATACAGACAAGTCTCTTAACATTCCATATTGCATTCTTCGCATCTTACTTTTTTAAAAACTTTCTACTTAAAAATATACAGAATATATTTAGTTAATGTTACTTTCCAACACAAGTTATTTTTACATTATTTACACTAATATTAGCCGAACTATACAGGACTATAAAATGCTCCGATTAAAATTCTTGTTGAACTGGAAAGTTTGCAACTTAATACACTATATCATATTTCCTATACAAAGATTTACATAGGGCTTTATTTTCATTGACGATTTTTACAATGCAATGTTAATGTGTACAGGAGTATAACAGTACTTTAATATTTGATAGAACGGTAGCGATTTATTTACTTAAATGCTTAATAAGTCAACAGCTTAATTTCTATACATAATAATTTCTGTCAATTTCTTTTTCGTAAGACGATTCATAAATAATGTCACAGGTTTAATTTATGTAAATATTCATTTACGTGCTAGTAATTAAGAAATTTTGCAAGGGTCAGTGAACAAATCTGATAATTTTTTGTGGGGAAAATGATAATTAAAAACGAGGTGATTTGTTTAGATAGATATAGTATCTACAAATTTAGTAAGAGCTAAATGTCAAACACTTTGGGGCTAATTGTAGCAAGTAAAAAAAAAGACGGGAAAGAAAAAAACAACGCAATTTTCGCTTTTCATATAAATGTAAAGGTCATTCAACTTTAAGGGACAAAAGTTGTTAATTATGCCATTACAATCCACACCTGAAAGTATGGTAATATGTTAAATAAAACATATTAAATCAAACTAGAAATCTACAGGTTATTTTCATGTTTAAATAGATGTTGAGCAGAATTAGGTAACAATTCTACAGATTTGAATAAAATGTTTGAGGGATCAAGCAAACTTTTGTACAGTGTTTAAGTTATAATATTTCACCTATATATAAGCCCCAAGGGTCATGCAAAAGTACCAACACGGTGCTTTTGTTTGATTCTCAAAAAATCTTAAGTTCCTATTGCAATGACTGTCTGTCGAATATATCATTTTATTTTCAAGGTTAGGTACATGTACCATTGACATCATGCCTTAAATTATTGTCTGAAAAATTGGGGGAAGAGTAATGCATGCAGGCAATATAAAATGGTGTCAATATAAAAGAAGGTGCTTATATTTACAGAAATATGGTATTTTGTATCTGCTTATTTCTTAATATTTGCAGAACCCAATTTTTAATATATAATTTAAATTTGATCTTATCTTAAGGTTTCAAAAATAAATCTTAAGATTTTAAAAATAAATAATGCATTATTGATAAAGTTTTACCATAACCCACTTTTTTCATAAACTATGATAAAATAACAAAGTAAGTTATACCAATTATTTTAATGGTAGGGTCAAGGTCATACTATATGGATCAAACTGTTGACCATTTTATGATAAATAATATCTCCTTGTCATATCTGTAAGACTCTAGCATTCTTACCTCACCATTTACACAGCTATGTTAATACAGCACGCATGTTTCATATAGTTACTGTATACATTAATAATGTCGCCCAAGTTCAATAACTTCCTCTTCATTTCATAAATAAATCTAAAATTGAAACTTAAAATAGTTACAATTGGAGCCTTAAAGGCTGCCCAATAGGGCAAAGTTATGAAAGTTGCTGAGGCTTGAACAAGCTTGTTCAGAAGAGCATCTAAGTAAATGCATGCTCACCTTCCACACCTCCAAATACATGTACAATATTTTTAAGCATTTTAAATACAAATCTGAAAGGTAATTTTACCCTCTTATTCTTGTTAACAAGGCATGAGATTTCATTTTAGGTTTAGTAATTAATATCGAAATAACTATTTTTTTACCACAAATTTATGTAAAAACACTCGTTTGTGGTATTTTATAATCTATACCCTCAATAATCAGCAATATTTTCTTATTACATACATAATTAAACTCTAAATTAATCCCAATATCATTAAGAATACTAATTAAAACTTGTTTGACAAATGGAAACCAAACTTCTCATCTTTACGTAAGTCATGTTTTTCAAAAACATATTTAATGTCATATGTAGACAAAAGAGAAACAGTGCCACCTGAAACTCAAACTAGTTGCCCCTGCAGTAGTACAAAGTTTACATGTTTGTTTACATCATTATATAATAAATATACTGTTTTAAGTAATTTTGTAAAATCTTTCTTCAAGACTTTAATCACCAGCAACACAATAAATCTACCTATTGATCAGATATATATATCTGGTATTCATCAGGTATATAAGCACGAGTTGGTATAACACAGTAGCATTATACTGACAACTTATTTGCTGATTTATTCCACATCAGATTTTATTTTTTTTACCTCTGCCCCTTTTATCATCATCATTAAATACGACCAGGTAGTAATCTACATTAAATCTTCCTTTTCATTCACACATTTTACTGCTAAACACATTAGCAATTTTCAATAGCAAGTAGATGGGGAATTCACAATGAAAAAGGTCTCTAGCTGAACAATAGCCTGCCTACAACAGTACTGGTGACAACCGCAACATATAAACGGACAATTTACAGGACATTTTACATTTGATCAAGCTGTGAACTGAAATTTAATTCAAGCTTAACCGAGTATAGAGGTAAGATAGGGACACTGTGGATATTTACATTGTTGAGATGATCAGAAGCTGTGAAATTATCTGTATTAAAGCAACCGCATAATACTAAATCTTCCATCATTACATACAGTAGCTTAAAGCTCATCATTGTTGTCGGCCTTATATAGAGAAGACTATTCAAACCTTTATCCCCCTTGTATTGTATAATGCACTCATCTTGTACTTATTTTGGAATCAACCATTGATTATTAAAGGGATATCACCATCAAAATGTTATATTTTAAGTAGGCGATATTTTAAAAGTATAATTAATTACATTGCAAGGATGTACAGGTAACCCTGCTTCTCATCCTGGACAGTAGAAGCTTGATATTATCATTTCATGCATCCAGAGGATTAAACAAATAAAACCACAACCCAGGAGTTTACTATATAAAAACTTAAAAACATCATAAGTACAGATTAAAAATGAAGAACACAGCAGATAAGGATCGAGGTCTAAATTTAATCCTTGTCAGAGATAAAATGGACAAGATGGCAGGTCTGTTATCAGATAATTTCCTGATTATTTTCAAACAGAAGCCCTATTTAACTATTAAATACAGCCATTAAAACACAAGATATGCTGCTCTACATTTTGAAATTACTGCTGCTTTTAAGCAAGCCAAAAAAATGTAAAATTTAAACATTTTGAAATGGCAAGATAAATGACTTGTAATTACATTAAAATATAAGGCATCCCCCTCCACCCCCAGTATTCTCAAAATTTTAAATTGAGAATATATCCAGTTATAGCACAATAAACATGGGTTGGAAAACTCAGCAGTTCACTTAGAAACAGTTTTCTGAAACATACATGCAACTCATTATATCATTAATAGCTGCACACTTAAATTAAAAGAACCACAATTATACAATCATTTCAATACCTCCCAGATTGCTCATCCTAGGAATGTGTACATGTACAATAGAAATAGAGGAAAGTATACAATCCTGTACTAGAGAAATAAACCACATGAATTGTGCAGCCCCACAATTTCAACATTTACACATCGGGAATCGGAGGAAAAAGTCTGAAGAAAAAAAAAATTGATACAAATCTTTGTCAGCATTTCGTTTTCTGTTTTCATTTTTTTATCCACAAAAGAAAAAAAAACTCTTTGAATATAATCCCTTACCACTCTAAATATCTTATATGTACTTGTCCACCTTTAAATGTTCATAAGACCTAATTCATTATTTTTTAGAGAAAAATTTCAAAAAATATACTAAATGAAATTAATAGCAAACATTGCAGACCATGATAATGATTAGACAACACACAACACATGGTTGCATGGGTAGAATCTTTTGATGCTGCCAGCAAGCTATATTACGTTAACATCACAAAATGTTTTGAAGTCTTTTCTTTTCTATCTAAATCAAACCATGTAACACTGCAAGCTTCTTTCATCAGGATTAGCTAGGTACAATTTGAAAACTGATGCATCTTTTATTCTGAAGTATGAAAATAGAGTCAGTAAAAATAAACAGGAATTACCTTTCTTCCAAAATAACAAATCCTTCCACTAAATACTGAACTGGCAGTAAAAATAAAGAGGCAGGATAAGAAGGTACAGATAATGATGTAAATTGATGCTATTTCAACAAATTACACACCGTTAATGTAAGAAAACTAACAGTTTAGTCCACGTAAATCCTCAGTGAATATTCTCCTGGAGAAAAACAAATCCCTCCATCAGTTAGCCGGGCAATAATCACAATTAGTTGAACAAGGATTTCAGCTTGAACAACTAGTGGTTCATACATACATTATTCATGTACTAGTAAATCCTTCAGGAGCTCTCCAACCATTTCTTTAACACCCAACTTAATTATTCAGATGTGTATTATTCAAATTTAACAGACATGTTGGACATTTTAAAGATCGGTTTATAGCCGTTATTCATCATCAATTGCTCAAACCTTATTCAGAAACACATATCTATTATAGAGAAATGTTGGCCGTCAGAACACGTTAATTATAATATATAGGTTTTTTAAAACAACTCTGTTTGTTCCATATATAGAATCAATGAAATATTATTCCACGGCACAAAAGCTTGCTTGTCACCAGGAAACCAGCGGCTAATTAAGATGTAATCATGAAACTTGCACCTTTCCGGTAAATGTTATTAGTAAAATCAATAAACAATAATAGGTTATTACAGAAAATATGATAAATATTCTATTATGGCTCATCCCCCAACCTGTGTATTGGGTTTTTATATTCATATAAATGCTAAACACACACAAGACTGAGAGATCTAATTTGACCATCAATTAAATGTATTTACTGCTCAAACAAGAGATAGAAAAGAAAGAGAGAAAATTTATTTACCTAGTAGTAAGTGATTCTGTGTCCATCATAAACAGTATCTGTACACACCTGTAATTATTCTTCCCAAATTATCACTTTGTATTTCCTTCTGAAACAAATCTTTCTATAATTGTACTATTGTTTCTATTATTTCTTCCGTTTCTACTATTTCTTCC